CTACTCTTTTACCAACGAATAGTGGGATTGACCGTCACATTATAACGCCCCCACAGCTGAAAGGGCGAGCATGTTTTGTGTGACGGGGATTCGAACCCGCGACCCTCAGATTGCGAGTCGAGTGCCTTAACCACCTGGCCATGCCGAGCCCATATATACTAAAAGTATTTTAAACAAATAAGACTGATTCATTTTCTCGATCATTGTAAGCTATATTTGAGCTAATGTCCACCAAATTTTGGAAATATTTAATCAAATGTTTTAATAAATATATACATCTGCTAGAAAGTTTTTAAATACTAAGGAATATATATACTAATGTACAATATCACTGCATTATTAATTTCTCAAAATATATAAAACTCGTGAAGTTTTAATTAGCTTTTTATGTTATCTGTTCATCCTTAGTATTTTGGCGTTCGCATTACATTTTAAGTACTGTGAGTAGGACACAACTGTGCTTTTTTTTTCATGCTAGTATTAAAACATTTTAAGGCCCAATTTAGCTTTAGTGCTCTTAAAGTTCTTGTATGATAATATTACGACATTGTGGCTCTTCTGTGTTCTAATTTCAGTGCATTAGGATAAGGTATTTTTGGTAATTGACTTTTGGTCATTATCTAGTTTTTTAAAACCTTTTAACCAATTAAAATGGTAATGATTGATCGCTAAGAACAGGCCATGGTTGTTAAAAATGGAGATACCGATATATTTAATAATAAATCAACAAGTACTCATGGGTTCATAAAAAAAATATAATATTTTAATAACTTGACTTGCATGTCTTTATGGTCCTTTTTTACGTTACAATATTTTAAATAGACAAACTACATATTTTTGAAAATATATATAAAAGTAATTTCTTGTGGTATGCAATACCTTGAAACACCGTCAGTGATATTAATGAAAAACTCTACAGTGAGACTAAGATTTTAGCTGTTAATAAGGTTATAACTATGAGAAATTTTCATTTCAGGCATATATATTGGGAAATCTTACAGTCAGACCATGAGGGAGGAGGATTTTAGCTGTTAATAAGGTTATAACTATGGGGAATTTTCATTTCAGGCATATAGATTGGGAAATCTTACAGTCAGACCATGAGGGAGGAGGATTTTAGCTGCTAATAAGGTTATAACTATGGGGAATTTTCATTTCAGGCGATTGGGAAATCTTACAGTCAGACCACGAGGGAGGAGGGTTTATAGAAACTGTCAAAAATTATTTTCTTCACCAATTGCTAAGGAAACCTACAAGGAAAAATGTTCTTTATGATTTACTGTTAACTTCTAATATAGAAAAGGTTGGAAGGGGGAGATTGAGTAACATCTGGGTTCAAGTGGTAATTGCTCAATTATATTTGATGTGCTGTTTATGGGGATCAGGAATAATGAGAGTTTTTGGTTACAAATTAAAAGAAAAACTAATCTAAAAAGAAATGCGACAAAAATTATCCATTGTTAACTGGTAAACTGAGTTAACTTTCAGATATTCAGCAAACATTTGACAAGGTGCCTAAAGGGCTTGTTAAAAATTATCTCTGTAGGTGTGGGGAATACATGGAGTTCAGTCAAATTAGATTGATGTCACAAGTGGGGTACCTCAGGGCTCAGTGTTTGGACCTTTGTTCTTTCTGAATTACATAAATAATATACATAAAGGAATGGTCAATAATTACTTAGATTTGCTGATTATATTAAAGTCTAGGATAATGCTGGCTGTAGTTCTTGATAAAATCATTTATATTATTTGGCAAGTTAGGCGAATATATGTCAAATGGATTTTAATTATAATAAATTCAAGGTGATGCATGTGGGTTATCATAATTTAAACCAGGAGTATAATTATGATGGTAATAACCCTAACAATATTATGGAAAAAAACGATTTTGATGTTCTGGTTGATCAGTCTCTTAAGCCATCAAAACAACGTATTGTTGCTAAATAGGACTTTAGGTTGTATCTACAAAAGCATTGAATACAAGTCTAAATAGGTTAGAATTTCATTGCATAGGTCAGTTCTTAGGTCCAATTTGAAATATTGTGCTCAATCTTAAGCTCCTTATCTAAGAAAGGACATTGATTTGGAAAGTTTTCACGCAAGAGTTCTGAAGCTGATTTCTTTTTTTTTAAAGGAAGAGTTAAAAGGGATTTGGTTGAAGTATTTAAAATTGTTAATGGAATTAATAATGTGGATGCATCATCTTTTTTGAAAATGGTAAGACTAGAAGACACAAATATAAATTTTGGGTGGGTCATCTTCAGATAAGAAAGTTTTATTTTTCTAATAGGGTGGTTGGTCTTTGGAATGAGCTGCCTTCAAATATAATGAATGCAATAAAATTTTGGGTGTTTAAAAGAGGGCTAGATAAACACCTGAATGATAATAATTGGCTGTGAGTAGACGGGACGGCCTAGATGGACCGACAGGTCACTTGGTATCCTTAACCTTTTTGTTAAGTGCGTGGCAAAGACTGAAAGTGTCAACTCTTGTTCATACAAAGATCGGTGGCGTCATCGATGTCACTTAGTAAGAGCTTTTTGGTCATTGGCAGTGACATCAATACCAGTGAATAAAGGTAGTGTAATGGATGGCAGTGAAACATAACATATATTGAATAATACCATTGATGCAGTAAAAATATATCTACATACAGTTAGTATTATTAGCATCCGCTAATGACATGTTTAACGTCAAACTAAGCTATTCATAGTAAATTAAGCTAAATCAAACTAAATTCATAGTAAAACTATCGATTAAAAATGAAATAAATAAAATGAAATGTATTAAATAAAAAGATAAAAAAATTAAAAATAAGTCAACACAAAACATCGGCAAAGCGACAACACAGTTTTTTTAATAGAACAGAATTAAAATCGAACATGGATTATTCAAGTATTAGGAGTATTTTTAGCAGTTAGTGAATAATAATATTTATACTATCTACTGTATATCACATTGTTTTTCAAAGAATCTATATTACATCATAATTTGTCAGTGACTCATATTCACTATTTGGTTGTTTTTAATATAAGCACAAGGTATTTTTATTTCCGTGTAAAAAAGTTATATTTCTTACTGATGACAAGAACACCTATCCTTTTTTTTTAAAGATATTATACAAACAAGTCTTGCTTTTATCGAATGACAACAAAAAAAGAGCCGCAAGGAGAAATATTCCAACGTTACTCTCAGGACTTGCTGATGAGGCACGTAATCGAACACTATGAACTTTGAGATATTGAAGTACACGTAATAGCACTAAACTTTATACTTGTATAGAAACAGGTGATGTTAGTGAATTCTTCAAAATACGACCTTTGAGCGTTATTAATGTAGTCTATTTAGTATCAAAATTGAACGAAGTTTTGACACCATCACGCTTCAGAAGTACTAATGTGTTTTATAAGCAAATGTTTTGAATATATCACTTAAATACTTGTGTGTATGAAAGCACATTGTGCTAATACAGTAGTAAATTAACAAAGAACGATTTGTAAGCACAATCGTTGTTTGTTAATTTAGAACCGATCTCATTTAAAGTTGAAAAGTTCTGTAATATGATAATAATGCATTAATTTTTAACTACTCATTGGAAAATTTAATGTCATCTACAAAGCTCGTGTGTTTATTATTTTACCAAATAAAACTTTCTTTTATTAGCCTCGTATTTTGAAGCATATCCAGATGTTTTATCGATTTTATATTCTTTCATTCTATGAAGCATTTCGTTCGTCCCAAGTCTTCAGAAATGTCATCAAATAGCGTGATAATGGATAAACAATACAACATAATATCTAGTGCAGATTAACGCCATATTTTATTGGTTTTCATTAATTTTAGACGAATATAACCTACTCTCTTGTAGAAGTAAAACGATTTTACAATATATATATATGTATATATATTTGTATTATTAACAAACATAGATACAACGAAGAACTCATGGACGTAGAAAAATCTTCCGGTGGCTCAGCAATAACGTTGAGACATGATAATACTAAAATTCGGAATTCGATACCTGTATCAGACATAGCACAGATAGCCTGTTGTTTAGCTTTGTATTAAAACAAACAACTAATAGGTGGTAGAAAGATACTACCTGGTTCGTATGTTTGTCTTTTGTACCATAATTAAGCAAATTTTATTATCACAAGTAAATTGGCAACCTCAGAGTTATGTTTTTCTCCTTTTCAAGAAGACTAAAATAAATATGCATTGCTACAAAATGAGAAGTTTTGGCTTACCTTCATAAATTAAACTTTGGAGCTTAAGATATGGTAGATGAGTTCATTTTGAAATATTTATGTGCAGTAAATCTCATTGAACGAGACACACACACAAAACAAACATACAGCTGGTGATGGCATTCATTAATTTATCTTACTGAATCGTATTTGAAAAAGGCAATAATATAGGCAGGCAACATAATATAAAATTCTCTAAATAAATATAGGTATCTTTAAAAACATAAAATGAATATATTTTGTTTCATATTTTTTAAACAAAATGATACAACACGATACACATGAATGATAACTACTGTCTTTATAAAACACTTGTACTTAGAATAAGCTAAAACCATCTTTGTTCAAAATTAATTTATTGCACAATATTGAAAGAGATGTTTGAAATTCAGACTAAATAACAAATAACACTATCTTGACAGTTCATTTAAAATATTAATCTACTTACGTATTTATATACTACATTTTTATTATATTTAACTAAACAAAATAAAATAAAAACACCGATGTTAATAGTTGAACAAATATTTGAAAAAGTCAATAGTCTAAAAAGGTTTCTAATACGTTTACTTACCAGCCTCAAAATAAAGTCGCAACTTGTACTCTTTAGAGACGAAAGTGTTACTTGACCTCCTTCCAAAAGATCAGATATGTGATTAGTTAAGAACACCTTCGTTTTGAAACAAGTTGTAGCTTATATTATCATATCAAGGTATATTATCATAATTTATATTGACGTCACTATGATCAAATTCCTCTTAGCGCACGCTGATTGTCTCAATCGCTGACCAATAAACGTTCGCGGTGGTGAATGAAAAAAAAGGACACGCAGTGATGATACAGAACATTTCGTGAGCTTGTTTTCTCTACATGTTCTCACATCATATGCCGTATTTTGCAAATAATTATACGTTTCTTTGTCTTCCCTTCTACTTATAAAAGTAAAGGTTTTTTTAAGGGTTTGTCTCATTAAGATATAGATGGGTAAGCGTTTTTGTTTGGGGACAATTAGAGAGAGAGAAAAACTCTCAAAAGGGAAATCAGATGCCCATGTGATGTACTTTTACTGGCTGTCTATGATCGAAACAGTCTTCCTTTAAGGGGCTGTTTCATATTCTTTACTCTGTAATAGTGAGAAGGTGCTAACGTCGTGGGTTTGATCGAAATATAAAGATAGGAAATTAATAAGCTTTTATTGTTCTTGCTTAAGTAACTTGCACATTTATCAAATTATACGTTAAGTTTTTATGGTCAAACCTAAAGAATTACAACGAAAAATCCTTCGCATGAGTTTGATTGGTAAGTAATATAATAATCTCATTTTTAACCTGATGATGACCTAAGTATGTAGAAAGGTTGTTACTCGTTTTGTGTTTTTAAATAAAACTTTTTAATACCCATATCAGTCGTATCTACTATATATATATATTTACTTCAAGTGGATTCTTCGTCATCATGAAATAAGGTAATTGATGTTACCTAATTCATTAAATGCCGATTGTGCCTGTGAATTGTGGGACTATTCTTATGGTAGGTATGTGAACAGAACATAAAAAATTATATTCCAGTTTCATTAATAGTCTAGAAAAAGTGTTAGATTTGATTGTTTTAAAAAGCAATTAATTTTTCTGCGTGTTAACCCCAGGTCAAAGCCAGCTTATTCAAGTTGGTAGCTTGGCTCTCAATAAAACGCATCGGTCTTTCTATATTCGACAACTGCGGCTACTTTGGTAAGAAGGTCACAATCACCGTTTAGTATTTCCACATGTTAACTCCAGATCTTGGTCAGAGAGGTCAGATTATCTGAGGTGGTAGGTTGGGTTTTTAAATAAAATTTATCAATTCAACAACTGCTGCGATGTTGATGAAAGGTAAAACTTACTTTTGTTCGAAAACTATCAACTGAAATTGAGACAACCATAGAACGTGATGTTACATGGAGTAACTCAGCCTTTTTGTATCCGCTTAGTGTAAGCACGTAAAAATAATTTTCATTTAGTTAAATGTGCACAAAATATACAGAATCCTGGCAGAAAATCTCGGATAAACGATAATAAAGGATAAATTGTCATGTCTAAATAATTATTCTTTTTTTATTTTATGCAACGTTTCGAGCAGACGCCCTTCTTCAGGCAGTAAAGACTGTGTTAAATTAGGCCTAATTTGCAAAAACTAAAAGTTTTTATTTATACGCGTTGAGTTATCCTTTATTACCTCTTATTTTACTTTATTTTTTTGCTCAGTTTTGCTGATGAAAAGATACAATAATCCTGACAGGTATCACTAAAACGTTTGTATATAATATAGTCCATAAGTTTTCTTAATAAATGTTTCTAACAATCATGCGTCAAACTGCTTGTGAATTTATGAATTTGTTGGTCATAAATTTCCTAATAACATATAAGTCATGTAAAATGTTAACAATGCAAAAATACCATCAACGATGCAATTAGTCTTAATAATTACTGCTAGGGTACCCTCTATATTATACATAGAAAATCGAGCGATTTTGATAAATATTTTTTAGTAAATATTTTACACTGGTCGTTGTAAGAGGCAACAATTTGAAATTAGTCAATAATATAACTATGTAAAAACCACCGGTAATGACCCGTATAAAATCAGATTGGTAATATGTGGTTGATGATGTTTACTATTATGCACAGTATACACACGATCTCTGTACTCTGTAGTTGTAGACGTAAAATCTATCGGTTTCTAAACATCTAAGGTAGTGTGTTCTGTTTGAGTGCCCTGTACGGCAAAGCCTTACAGTAAGCAAAAACTAGCTAAACATCATTTATAAACACTTCAAGCTAAACATCATGAGCTAGAAGAAAGTTATATTCCGAAATCATGGTGCAAAAACAGTGATATTTTATAGGTTAATTCCTGGGATAAATAGGGCACGTTTTGTAAAGGTACTATTGATTTTGATCCCTGGTGGTAATGTACAAATTTCATCATCACAGCAAAGGGTGCTTATAGAAACACAATAAAACCGTGAAACATAAACGCATTTGTCTAGATTTCTCCTTAAGAATCCGTCTTGCAAGTAACATTGAACCAACCGTGGACTACTTGGTAGTGTGTCTGGATGCAATACTGATCCAGGCGTGAGCTACTTGGTAGTGTGTCTGGATGTAATACTGATCCAGCCGTGGACTACTTGATAGTGTGTCTGGATGTAATACTGATCCAGCCGTGGACTACTTGATAGTGTGTCTGGATGTAATACTGATCCAGCCGTGAGCTACTTGGTAGTGTGTCTGGATTGTGGCTCTGAACCAGCCGTGAGCTACTTGGTAGTGTGTCTGGATTTTGGCTCAAAGCCAGCCGTGGGCTACTTCATAGCGTGGCTGGATATAATCCTGAGCCAGCCGTGGGCTACTGGGTTGTGTGTCTGGATGTAATACTGAGCCAGCTGTGGGCTACTTGATAGTGTGTCTAGATTGTAGCTCTGAGCCAGCCGTGAGCTACTTGGTAGTGTGTCTGGATGTAATACTGATCCAGGCGTGAGCTACTTGGTAGTATGTCTGGATTGTGGCTCTGAGCCAGCCGTGGGCTACTTGATAGCGTGCCTGGATGTAATACTGATCCAGCCGTGGGCTACTTGGTAGTATGCCTGGATGCAATACTGAGCCAGCCGTGGGCTGCTTGGTAGTGTGCCTGGATGTAATACTGAACCAGACGTAAGCTACTTGGTAGTGTGCCTGGATGTAATACTGAACCAGACATAAGCTACTTGGTAGTGTGCCTGGAAGTAATACTGAACCAGACGTAAGCTACTTGGTAGTGTGTTTGGATGTAATACTAAGCCAGTAGCGGGATACTTGGTAGTGTGCCTGGATGCATTACTGGGCCAGCAGAGGGCTACGTGGTAGTGTGCCTGAACATAATACTGAGCCAGCCATGGGCTACTTAAGAGCATGCCTGGATTGTGACTCTGGGAGTGTTCGTATCCGTTGTTGAAAAAAAGTGATCCGAACTTTAGAGCTGTGGAGAGCTCTATAAAAATGATAATCAAACATCAACTATCCAATCAGATAAGAGAAGCACAAGACTCGGAAACAAATACTGTAGACTAAATGTTTTACCTCTTGTTTATGAGTTGAAGATTAGGGAAGACTAAACGCAGATAGCCCTCGTGCAGCTTCACATATAACTAATATTAAAAATAGTACAAAAAGTAACAAATGCTTTTAGTTTATTAAACAGTACTTCATAGTAGTGCTTCTTTCGTTTGTTTATTTCTGGTAATATTCTTTTACCAGTTTCTTTATTTAATCTTTACTGTTGGGAGTATCAATCGATCTATCTGCTTAAGACAGTGGTTGAACTTTAAGTTTCACTGAAGATCACATTAACTAATTTCCGGCTTAGACTGGACAGTGGAAGCCAGTCCTAAGTTCAATGAAACAATTTTTTCCCGTTATTATACTTGCCACGTCGTGCATGGGATAGTTTATGGCAATGTAATACCTCCAGCTAAACATGTGTTGCATAATATCTGGTGTTATGACGGCCCTAACGTCCTTAATGGATTGATGGAGATTATTTAGTGAACGTGATGTATTTTATTGCTTACTAACAGCGTTTAATGAACTATAATAAAACCAGAAGTCAATAAAGCTATGTCTAGTTGGTGAATTCGGAGGGTGTGAAGAAAGTAAAATCTAGATTCTAGAACACGTTGTGAAGCTTAGTATACGAGTTTTTATTTGTTGTACAAATTTACAAGAATTTCATTTGTTACTGTTAATGACATCTACCAATGTTTTTATGTAACTAATGTTTTTGTTTGCTGTCATAAGTCAACAACAAGAATTTCACTTGTAACTTCTATTGAAATATACCAATGTTTTTCATGTAATTAATTAAATTATGGCTTCATTCTATGCTTAACATAATTTGGTAATTGATCAACCATATCTCTAATTACTATTCGAATAGTATCCAAAATGAACTATCTTGATAGAACAAATGATTCTTCAGGTTTCAGAACCAATTATGGGATTGAATTTATTCTGCCAAACGTTCAAACGAAACAGTCTTCCTTAAGTGCTGCATTCAAATACACCTACAAAGTAGATGAGGCAAGGAACTTTTCAGATATCTTCACTTTCGTTGTAGTCAAAGCCATTTCTTTTACGTTCTATAAAGACTTAAAAAATGGTACCTAGTTCTCTTTACTGCCTTCATCTTAAACTGCTTGATTTGTGAAAATTAGTTTCCCCTCTTAGATGTTTTCTACTGACCAAAACCTCATTGGGATCTTTTACGAACCACTTAAGACAATTTATTCTTCTGTGATATAATTTACCTTGACGTAATTAAACTTTATATATATATATATTGTGACGTATTAGAATTTCAAATAGCCTGAAATTGTAGTTAATGTATCTTTAAAATTTAGTAGTTAAATTGTTACTTTGGTATTTAGTAGTTAAGTGAAAGCCGATATATAGTCAGTTTAGGATATTTGCCAACAAGATTAATACACACAGTTATCTTTTTTAACACAAATATGTTTTAATATTCAAAAAACAATACAATTTTACAATAACAGTTATTACAAATAGTTATTACAAACAATGAGTTATATACAAAAAATTACAAACTTACAAGCAATATAAAGTATTTTTTCTAGTC